CTTGAAACTTAAAGCCAAGCATGTCAAAATTTTGCTGATTCCAAGATAATTTCCATTTTGTTTTTATACTATTTGCACTAAATTTTTCTTTACCAATCCAGACGACTTTTGTTTTGTCAAAATTAACTTTCAAACCAGAAATAAAAGTAAAAGTGGACAATGTGTCTAAGGTTTCATTTAAAGAAGAGGCCGAACCATCTAGAATAATTGAAGTATCATCTGCGAATTGAGATAGCTTATGTTCTACCAAATTCATTTTAATTCCTTTAATATTATTATTTGACCTAATTTTCTGCGAAAGTATTTCAGCACATAAAATAAAAATATAACAACTTAACGGATCACCTTGCCGGCACCCACGCTGAATGCTAAAGAACTTTGATAAAAATCCATTTTGACATATTGCTGAAATCCCATCTTTATAGAAAATGTTAAACCATCTTTTGATGTCTTCTCCAAAATTAAAAAGTGACAACGTTTCATCTACAAAAACCCAAGACAAAGAATCAAAAGCCTTTTCGAAATCGATAAGGAGTAAAAGCCCAGAAATGTTATTCTCCTCTGTATATTGCATTATATCATAAATTAGTCTTACATTTTCTCCTATAAATCTGCCCTTTATAAATCCTGTTTGGTCAGTGTTAATAAGTTTGTCTAAAAATATTTTTATTCTATTCGCTATGCATCCAGAACCAATTTTATAAATTGTATTAAGCAGTGTTATCGGTCGCCAATTTTTTAAAAATTGTTTTGGCTTATCACCTTTAGGATACACGTTATTATACCCTGTGTTTGTGTTACAGATAAGTTTCCGGATATAAAAGCATGGTTTAGAGCCCTGCAAACAAATACGCCAATTCTGTTCCAAAAACATTTATAAAATTCTGCTGAAAATCCAGATGAGCCTGGACTTTTATTATTTTTCATATTCTTTAAAACGATTGATGCTTCTTCTAGTCTGATTTTACCCTCGAGGGATTTTGACTCTGTATTTGATAATGTTGGAATGTTTATATCTTTAACAAAGTTTAAAAACATATTATCCTCTAAGCCATGTGAGGTACACGTATATAATGATTCATAAAAAAATGCAGTTTCGTTTAAGATTTCTTCTTGTTTTGTAATTAAAGTACCATCGTTTTTCATGATTTTTGTGATACATTTATTAACATAATTGCTTTTTTCAAGATTACTAAACAATTTACTTGGTTTCTCTCCATCAATTACCCAGTCCACTTTTGATCTCAAAATGTAACCTTGAAACTTATTGTCTTGTATGATATTTAATTCGTTACGCAGCTGTTCGAGTTTTTCATTATTTTGAATAGTTTCAGAATTTTCTAGTATTTCAATATCTTTTTTTATCTGTATTTCCCTTTCATTACTTGCCTTTTTCTTATAAGAACCGTAGGATATGGATTTACCTCTTATTTCCATTAATAAAGTTTCTAAAAATAACTGATCGTTTATTACAAATTGTATATCCTCGTTTGGAACACTTTCAATTGTTTCGAAATTATAAACAGGTATGGCATATTGCTTTTTAACGTCTTCAATTTTTTTATTTATTTCATTAACATATTGAATATCTCTAAGTAGAGAATTGTTGTGTTTCCAGAGCCCTTTACCATGCTTGAAATCATTAAATTTTAATTGCATTATAATAATTGAATGATCAGACTGAAAACTAGGTTTGATAAAAACATTTTCACAGTATGGTAACATAAAAGAAGATAAAATAAAGAAATCGAGTCTAGCTTGTTGCATTGGGTTTGCCTTTCGCCAAGTATATCGCTTTAAATCAGGTTGAAATTCCCTAAAAGGATCAGTTAGACTTTTTTCTTCCATGTGTTTCAAAAGAGTTGATCTTGCATTTTTATTATTTATATTCTTATAGTTATAATAATCTAAATCAGGATTTTGCACTAAATTGAAATCACCACAAATGCAATACTTGCATATTTTGACCTAAAGTACATGTGTCACAGCCGTAGTCATGATAATGACCATTTGTGTTACAATCCCTCAATAAATGATGATTAAATCGTCCCTATACACATCTTCATATTTTTATCTAAACTTTGACCTCTATGTGTGACCTTGACCTTGGCCGCAAGGACCTGAATCTTGCGCGCGACACTCCGCCTCACAATGGTGAACATTTGTGCCAAGTAATATTGAAATCCCTCTATACATGTGGAAGTTTTGCTCCGGACAAGCATTTTTCAATGAGCTCCAAGTGTGACCTTGACCTTTGACCTAGAGACCTGGTTCATGTGCGCGACACTGTTCCTCATAGTGGTGAACATTTCTATGAAGTTTCATGAAAATCCCTCCATACATGTAGGAGATATGCTCCGGACAAAATTGGACGCCGCCCGCCCGCCCGACCGACCGCCAGGGCTGTTCCCATAATACTTCCCGTTTTTCAAACGGGCGTATAAAAAGTACATGTAATTGTAATTTAATAACTAAAAAATTCTGATTTAAGATTTTATTCTAGGGAAATACATTTCATTACAATTCTTAATCTTTGAATGAGCTGAACTGATATTTACTTGAAAATTAAAATATAATTAAATTTCTATGAGAAAGTATTTACATTTGATAATGTAATTACTGTATGATCTTTATGAACAAATACCAAGTCTACAGAACACCATAGTTATCACAATTAAGAATCTTGACCAATGAATGAAACATGTGTAAACTAGAACTCCGCGAGTCGGATGTGTCGCCTTGTGAACAATGTAGTTTAGGGGAAATGGCCAGGACAAAAATGAAATATGAAAAATAACAAAGGGCAATAACTAAAAAGATAATACGTGCAGAGCAGCATTTCTGTACACTGCACTTCTTATCAATAAGATCTATCATTCTATGATGTTTCAAGTCCATAGCTTTCATACTTGAGGAGAAATTACCAGGACAAAAATAAAGTAAGAAAATCAACAAAGGGCAATTACTAAAAAATAAGAAATGCAGAGTATCAGTTTTTATGCACTGTACTTTTTTTAATGAGATCTATCATCCTATGAAGTTTCAAGTCCATAACTTTTATATTTTCGGAGAAATGGCCTGGACAAAAATTAAGTATGAAAATTAACAAAGGGCCATAACTCAAAAATTAAGAAATGCAAAGTACCGATTCTTGTGCACTGCACTTCTTAATAATGAGATCTATCATCCTATGAAGTTTCAAGTCCATAGCTTTTATACTTAAGGAGAAATGGCCCGGGAAAAATTAAAAAATGAAAATAAACAAAGGGCAATAACTCAAAAATTAGGAAGTGCAGAGTACTGGTTCTTGTGCACTGCATTTCTTCTTAATGAGATCTATCATCCTATGAAGTTTCAAGTATATAGCTTTTTTAGTTGAAGAGAAATGGCCCGGACAAAATTAAAGTATGAAAATTAACAAAGGGCAATAACTCAAAAAATAAGAACTGCAGAGTTCCGGTCCTTGTGCACTGCACTTCGGGTTATTGAAAGAAGCATGCATACCAAGTTTGAAGTCAATCAGACTTATAGTGACTGAGTTATGCCCCGGACAAGCTTTAGTGGACGCCGACGCCGACAACGACAACGATGCCGACACAGACGCCGCCGCCGCCGCCGACACCGCCGACAAAAGTAACCCCTATATGTCACCTTTTCAAGGCGACACAATAAATGTTACATTCTTTAGAACATACTCAAGTCCAAGAAAGAGGATTATTTTATGCCCTTTGATTAAATTCTATTTTTAGAATTGAAAGTGAAAGTAGATCAAGGGGAGTAATTGTGTAAGTCATTTATGAACAAAGTAATAACTTTGTTGTCGCCCTTTGATTAAATTCTATTTACAAAATCTGGATATTTCATCATCTTTAGTGACCTTGACCTTGTATATATTGACCTAAATTATATGTATCACAGCCATAGTCTTGATAATGACCATTTGTGTTACAATCCCTCAATAAATGATGACTAAATGGTCCATATACACATCTTCATATTTTTATCTGAACTTTGACCTCTATGTGTGACCTTGACCCTGGCCGCAAGGACCTGAATCTTGCACGCGACACTCCGCCTCACAATGGTGAACATTTGTGCCAAGTAATATTGAAATCCCTCTATACATGTGGATGTTTTGCTCCGGACAAGCATTTTTTCAATGAGCTCTAAGTGTGACCTTGACCTTTGACCTAGAGACCTGGTTCATGTGCGCGACACTGCTCCTCATAGTGGTGAACATTTCTATGAAGTTTCATTAAAATCCCTCCATACATGTAGGAGATATGCTCCGGACAAAATTGGACGCCGCCCGCCCGCCCGCCCGCCAGGGGCGTTCCATAATACGTCCCGTTTTTCAAACGGGCGTATAAAAATGATTTCAGTGAACCCATTATCGGTTTAAATTGATCAAATAAAAAAAACGAAAAAAGTGCAGCGTTTGAACAATATGTGTTGTTTGTATTTACTCAAGAGTGATCGTACACATTTTAAGATATACTATGCTCATCCTTGAGTACTTTGATATAAGAAATTATTGAAATTTCAGAAAGTCCTAAAGAATATGTTGAATTATAATACAAATGCATAAAATATGTTTTGAAAGCTGCTTTCAATATTACAGGTCAAGTTAATTTGGTCTTTCCTTAAACAAAATTGCAGTTTTGTTATTGACACTATACATTGATACAATGCTCACCAGCCTGAAGTGTGTAGTGTTTTAAACGTTTAAAATCTTCTATGTGTGTACCCAAAAGATCTATACTTTACTTTAAAAAAGAGACTGATAACAATTATCAGTATTTTCAAATATCAAATTTGAGAACACTATTTGTAAGAAATTGTCATATTGCGTTTGTTTAGATAAATTAAGCCGCCATTGCATAATTGTAGACAATCTAGGCACCAACACAAAACGTTTCAAAGTATCTTATATTTTGAACATTTTATTTGTTGCACATATAGCCGTAAATGTCGATGTTGACACTTTAAAATATCATTACCTGATGTGTTTAATATCATCGGACGGAAAATCTGAAGACTGAGCTTGTTGTTCAAGAAAGTAGAGCGTCTTTTCCAAGACTGGTCGGTTATATTGCACTTTTCCTAGCCATTCTGTCCTCTTTGTGTAATCGTCTACCTTTGATTTGGCTCGGCTTGATGTGTCGTCCAGTTTATCAGGACTTGTATGCTCACAAAGCAAATATGCAGCCGCCATCGTCTAATTGATTAATGACATTAAAGGTTCGAGATCATTTCTTAATATAAGAATATAATTTCAATAAATTATAACTTGTAAATTGACAACAACGGTTAGAAGAGCAGCGTGCTGCATTTTCAAGTGCATGATATTAAACTGAAATGTTTCTACATAAATTAACTTTATTTGATCTTTGGTCTGAAAATAAAAGGATGGAGTACATCTACATGAAAAATTCGAAGCTCATAGGACAATACACTTTGAATGAATAATCAGTTTTATGTGTTGTAATAACAGTTCCTATTAATCTTGATTTCTGACAATAGGTACGGCAGGTAGAACTGATTAATATGTATCTCCATATAAAGTTTGAATAAAGTTCCTATGATAATTCATTTTGCTGATGTTGCAAGCAAGTTGTTACTGGTACTTGTGGCCTTGACCATAGGGGCCTTTTGACCTGAAAATTGGTGCACCGGAAGAAATATTGGAACGTTTTTATGTTATATCCTTGTCAGCATTGAAGTAAAACTTAACCAAAACGTTTAATCAATGCCGACAACTACAAGCAGGTCATGAAAAAAGCTTCAAATTTCTTTGCAAAGTGGATATGGAAATATTAATTTATATTTTCGCGAGGGATATTTCGTCATTGCGTTGTTGTATAAAATTTGCATATAGTGCATGCTCAAGTTTAACTTTCTCATTGTTCTTTACTAAAAACACATGTTGTAAAAGTAGTTTTATTATATTAATAACAAGATGATTTTGTATGATACCACCTCTGCTCATTAGAAGAACAAGAAATGTTAAGCATGATAAACATGCTCCCTTCTGTCAATCTGTAATATGTAGTAGGTAAACAATTCACAGTAAAACGTTTTATGCAATGATAAAGGAAACAAATTGCACGCTGATTGTTTTGGAACAATATGTTTACCGCTTATGACGTTTTGCCAACAATAGAAAACATACTTAACGTTTTACACCTTTATTTTTTGCAACTTAAATTTGAGTCTAAAGGTCGTTTCTACTAATTCACCAATCAAGGTTCTATCTCTTAATCACATTACAGAAGTCTGAACAGTCAAGTTTCCGATTAAATGCTTGTTTGTTAAAGCTGCATGCCTCCATGAGAGTCAAAATATTTAAAAAGTCAAACTTGAGAAAAATGTATTGGGGTTTTATGAAAAGTCAAAAGACTGAAGATAAAAGTAATAATCTAAACGTTATATGCGATAAATGGCCAATTTTTCATTAATTTTCACCATATTTCTTCTGCATTACTAACACAGTAACGGCTTATTTTGCATATTTTGACATCTTTTTGGTAATTTACATGGGTTGCAAGTGCCGTTTGCAATGTGCATATTATTTTCTTTGTCAGTAACATAATATTTTACTTTTCAATACATGTTCAAAATTTTCATGAAAATTAGCAGGAATCTGGAGGCATGCTTTTTTAAATTGATGATCAAAGGCATAACCATGCAAACCAAATTTCAATCACTAAAGCCGTTAATTTAACAATTGTAACGATATCTTTGTTTCGCAAAATATATTTGTATGTTCTGTAAGTATTGTAAATTGTTTAATGCAATAAAATGATTGAAATTCAAATTCTAGAAATATACAGATTTTCCTTGAAAAATAATATACAACAATCATAAAAATCATTATTTTTACAAACGCTACCTGCTTGACGAACCCAAAATGCAACAATGTGCCTCATAAAAAGGGCTCATACACAACATAATTAATCCAAACAATCAACACAATCTGAGAAAAAATGTCGGCAATTAAGCAAAAATATGACAGTCAAAGAATAGAACTTTTGACTATATCAACGTCACATATCCCATCTTCCCACGTCAAGTCAAAGTTATTGAATATCTGGACAAAAGGCCATCCCTTAATTGGAAGCATTAATGATAACAAAAATACATGAAAATTTCAGACTTGGTTTGATTGAGTGTGTTCATGAGGAAAAGTAATAAAAATGGTTATATTTTAATGTAGGATACTTTGAACTAAGAAAAAAATGATATAATGTTATGAACACATTATTTTGGATAAATAAAATATAAGTTGTATTCGAGATAATCAATTACGACTTATTAAATATAACAAATTCTAGATCATGGGACTAGAAAATCCTTTGTCGGTAGAAGCTGTCTGTGATTTTATTTATACTCGGTAGGAAAATACATTCAATCATTTTAACTGTTTCTTACATAACTAAAGTTATTATGTAGTATAAAATTCTTACAATATCATTGTCCTTCAGTATACTGTGTTTTGGGTCGTTGACTTTTAACTCCAATATCCGACTGCTGCAGTCACTCCATATGCTGTTGATGAGACGGAAATATGACAGTCCTTGAGTCATTTCATTGTAAACAACATGGACACACACAACAGCATTTAAAAGCGTGAACTCCCCATATTTTCTGTAGAGTTTAAATGCCTGTCCTTCCAAAGCTTTACACAGGACCTAGAATTATATTTATATAAATGCATATGCATTTGTCAACTATAAATGATATATTTATTCATAAAATGTTACCATGTGAAAAAGAAAAAGTCTGTTCAAAACATATTAAAATATTACATAAGGTTCATAATATTAATTGCGGGAATGCGACTACAACCTGAAGAGAAAATGGATGAAGATAGAAATTTTACTGATCAAAAAGATAGGGTCAATCTCCTAAAAAAACTTGCTCATTTTATAACTTTGAATTAAGTGAACTAAGAAATTAACTAACTTAAATTGACAAATAGGAACATTCAAACCAATTGATTACATTGTCTCAAAATGAATTGTAATTCTATTTTTTCTCACACTGTGTTCGTTTTTTGATCCATTGTGATATACTGAACAGACGAAGTCGTTGATGTAATCTCTTATTCCCTCTAATACAGAGTTTTCATTATCAATATCATACAACAAACTGCATAAGGGCATTTCTTTCAAAAGTCCTACCAAGCCTTGATAAACCGTATCAGTATCTGTGAAACATATTAAAATTTATATTTAACATGTGCGGAGGTTAATGTGAAGAAAATAAAGTTTAACAAGAGCCATGTCAACATGGCCATCCCCCGCCGAATGTGTTTGCTCATTGTCAGAATGTATATGTAGCAGAGCATAATTAATATTTGTAAGAGGTCTTTTGGTAATGAAAACAGATGGCTGAAGTGATTACAGATTTGAAACCTATGTGAATACTGATGGTTGAAAATAACAAAAGGACAATTACTGAAATATAATGCAGGGTAGGTTATCATTCTTGTGTGCTGCACTCCTCCTTATTGAGATCTATCCACCTATAAAGTTTCAAGTTGGTATCTCAAAGGCTTTTAAGTTATGCTCTGGACAAAAATAAAGCAAAAAAAATTACAAAGGGCAAAAGCTGAAAAATTATGCAGGGTAGGTTATCATATTTGTGCGCTGCACTCCTCTTCAATGAGATCTATCCACCTATGAAGTTTCAAGTTGATACCTCTAACACCTTTTAAAATAAGCTCCGAACAAAATAATATGATAAAGAACAAAGAGCAATAACTCAAAAATTATATATGGAAGAGTTATCATTCTTGCGCACAGCATTCCTCCTTAATAAGATCTATCAACCTATGACGTTTCATGTTGACATCTCAAACATTTTTTGAGTTATGCTCAACTCAGGTGAAAAATTAAGCATGAAAACTAACAAAGGGCAATTACTCAAGAATTTGAAAGGTAGAGTTATCATTCTTGTAAATTGCACACCTCCTTAGTAAGATCCATCCACCCATGAACTTTCATGTTGATATCTCAAAGGCTTTTTAAGTTATGCTCTGGACAAAAATTAATTTTGAAAAATAACAAAGGGCGATAACTCAAAAAATATGCAGGGAAGAGTTATCATTCTTGTGCATTGCACTCCTCATCAATGAGATCTATCCACCTATGAAGTTTCAAGTTGATACCTCAAATACTTTTTGAGATAAGCTCCGGACAAAAATTTATTTTGAAAAATAACAAATGGCAATAACTAAAAAATTATGCATGGTAGAGTTATTATTCTTGTGCACTTTTACTCAATAAGATCTATCCACCTATGAAGTTTCAGGCTGATACCTCAAATACTTTTTGAGATAAGCTCCGGACAAAATAGTATGAAAAAGAACAAAGGGCAATAACTCTAAAATTATATAGGGAAGAGTTATCATTCTTGCCCACATCATTCCTCCTCAATAAGATCTATCCACCTATGACGTTTTATGTTGACATCTCAAACACACAAAGGGCAATAACTAACACATTATGCAGAGTAGAGTTATCATTATTATGCACTGCACTGAGATGTATCGAGCTATGGTGTTTCAGGTTGATACCTCAAATACTTTTTGAGATATGTTCTGGAGAAAAATGTCGGACGGAAGGACGGACGGACGAAGACTATTTCTATATCCAAAACAAGCATTAAGAATGGTCTCAGCCTAGCGGGGCCACGCGCACTTTTTCATATGATCAAAGTCAAACATATGATCAAAGTCAAACATATCAGAGGAAGAATATTATAGTAGAGAGCATTCCTACAAAAGATAATTTTCTTTTAACAAATAAAATCAAAATTTCATATTTGACCATGACTGTAAAGGTCATTTAAAGGTCAATGTCACATTTGTGATCTTGTCAGTTAAGTAATAAGTGCTCTTTTGTCCACTCTTAAATAAAATACAATTCATAAATAAATAACAAAGATATATCACTTTGTGCAGATTTCAATAACTTGACCTTGAGAGTCAAGGTCATATAAGAAAAGTTCAACATGTCGGTTTTGTCATAAGTGCTTCTTTGTCCAAGAATAAATCAATTTCACAAATCGATAACAAAGTAAAGACAATTTAAGTAACTTTCATTAATTTGACTTTGACGGTCAAAGTCATTTAAAGGTCAAGGACTTTTCAAAATAATTCAACATATATGTTTTGTCATAAGTGCTCTTTTGTCCAAGAATGAATTAAAACCAGAAAGAGATAATAAAGTCATGTCAATTCAAGCAATTTTCAATAATATGACCTTGACGGCCAATATCAATTAACGAATAATGTCAAATAAGAAAAACGTCAAGGTGAAAAAAAAAATATCAATATGTCATATTTGTCACATGCAAGTACGAATAACATTTGTAAGGAAACAACAATGAGACGATAATTTAAGCTAAATAAATAAAGTAAAATTAGGGCTGATTTTAGCAAATTTAAATAATTTGACCTTAAAGCTCGAGGTAAAAATATGGTAAAGGTCAAGTTCAATTGAACCATTTTTGGTGTCTTGTCCCAAAGATTGTTGTGCACAAGTATGACAAGAATACATTTATTTCTTCACAGGTGATAGACAATTATAGAAAAAACCTATCAAAGTACAATATTTTGACCTGTAATGTCAAGGTTATCTATGAGACAAGGTCAACTTTACTTTTTAAGACATTGTCCTTAGGGTAGTTGTGCTCTAGTATGAAGAAAATCCATTCATAAATCACAAAGCTATAGCCAATTATAGCAATGTCAAGGTCATTGGTGAGTTAGGTCCTAATAAAATTGGCTGTTAAATGTCTTCTTCAAACATGTCAAAGGATTGATATGTTTAAATATTAAGACAATTTTTTCATAAATAACAAAGTTATAGCCTTTTGTAGCTAAAACCAAGGAAAATTCAAACAATTTTCCGAGAAGGTCAAGGTCATTTAAAAGTGAAGATCAAGTTCAGTCTAGTCAACTATAAAGTATTGCCTAAAGATTTGCTGTATCCAAATACGTATATATGCAATCCATTGAGGAACAAAACAATTATGGCCAACGTTAATGTTTTCGGACGACAACGGCAACAACAACGCAACGTCACCAAGACTGTAGCATGAGCTCTATTTTGTCTTAAAAAGCTTTAAAGGACAAGTGTTTTAATTTTGAGTATAAAAATAGTATATGTTCAGATGCAAGACATCATGAACAAATGTAATTCGTGTATGATAACATACAATGACATAAACACATTTTGAACAATATTTGGCCAATTGTTTTAAAACTGCATAGTTACATAGTAACATATTCAAATTCTGAATCATATTAATGCCAAAAGGCGAATATCGTCGATATGAAATGATTTCACATACCGTCAGTTCTTTTATTTGTTTCAATGTATATATCAGATATTTTTGAGATGTAGAGCCAAGAAAACGGCATCTGTGATTCAAACACGTTTTTGCCAATACCAGTATAAAGAACTAACGCCTCTCGAAGTACACTAGTCCGAGTCGGAGACTGCAACTCTGAATACTATAGAAATAACGTTCAACATCTTTATACAAAAATAATTATTGCTATTCTTACATATGCTGTTTTTTTCCATAAACTGTTTCTAGTTAACATTATATTTTTATTCTATATAGATCTGCAAAAAAGTTTACAATCTCCTTTTTGTTACATGAAGTGGGAAGCTACGCATAAAGCTTTAAACATATTTTTGTCAGGAAACAATATTATTAAAGCTTACACTGAATTCCAAAGCATTTGGTGTACATAAAATGTTTTGCCATAAATCCGTTTTCCATTTTGAGGCCTCAGTAGAAAGGATGTCTAAATTTTGATTGGTGTCAAGGAAAGCTATAACTCCAGCAAGAATCGGCGAAATTTTCCCTTCTAAGATCTTCAGACACGAGCGCCTTGCAATAAATCAATACATTATATAACTTTAAGAGCATATTCTGAACTAAAGTCGACAAGTTAAATATATATCGCAAAATGGACTTAAAATGAAATAGATGGCTTGTGTGTCACTAGAATAAAAACTATATTGGTTTACAATATAAAGTTACTTCTTAATCTTTGTTAGTTTATTTTCGGCAATGTTAGGATAAACTCTTGTTATTCCAAACAAACAAACAAACAAACAAACAAACAAACAAACAAAAAAACAAAAAAAACTAAAAGTTTCAGAAAATGTCCCTTGTAATAGCACTTAAACAACCACTTGGTGTTAATACTTTTCCCTATTGTGGTCTTGTTAACAACAGTTTTGCAAAGTCAGACAAAATATCTGAAAATGTTCATTTTTTGTTTGATAACAGTACACCGGTGGCTTCGGAGGGGATATTGTTTAAGGAAAGGTTAGACTTCAAACTGGAATTGGGTGTCTAAATGGTTCATTTGGAGTCAGCTTTGCCCCGATGAACTTATTTTCATTATGTTGAAGTGTTGTTTTACCTGAACGTTCCAGCTTCGTTTATTTTGTCCGTCGATGTTGCCTCCTTAGCCATCCAGTCTTTAGGGTCAATAAAAGATTCTGTACTTCTTTCTTTTTCAGACAATAACATCGAAATAACACGGCAAACTCCATACAAAAATGAAACGGTTTCTTCTGAAGTGTACATAAGCAAATTTATAGTTTAATCACAATGCCAACATAAAAAGCCATATTTTGTCTTTTGCTGAGAAAAACCATTTTGTTGTTTTCATCGGAAACTATTATCGACACTCTTCGATTAACGGCACATTGAAACTTAAATAAAGATAATGCACAATCATATATAAGTTGGACAAAGCGTTTAAAGTTTCCAATATGTATTGTTTCTTATGAAACATTAGATCTGCAAAAATTTAAAATAAATGATATTATTTATTTATGATGTAAAAGCTAGACTAATAATCAATTGGGCAATATGTTTATAGATATTCCTATAAATAAACCCATAACACCTCATGATAAACCAGCAGACAACAGTTTCTGTTGGTAAAATGTTACAGTATTCGGCAAATCAACATTCCACTCAAACCACCATAAAACCGATCGCTGTCAAACAAAATTGAAGAAATCAGAGTCGATTTAAATATTCACGGTAAAAAATGTCAGAAATACAATCAGGTTCATCGGCTCGTCATTTACTAACACAGCGCGACACGAATGACCTGATTTTTGGACTTACGCAATGTTAAGGTCATCTATTTATAGCTTTCGAATTCATGTATAGCAAAAATACATACATAACCCACTTTGTATTTTGTTGTCTTTTATACTGCCTTTCCAGTGGCTGAGGCTTAAAATTTGTTCCCGTTCTCATTTATTAATATGACATGCTGCGAATCATTGAAGGGGAAACAAATATCTGACTTTTCATAATGGAAATCGGAAGGAATTCTTCGTTCCGAAATTATTTTAGCTGTGAATGAGATCCCGGAGCAAAACCTATGGGTGAAGAGAACATTATCATCAAACATTAAATGCCTTTCAGCCGTAGTTTTTACATGACATTTCGTTCATCAGTATGAAGGACATGATTTACCTTCATTATGACCTCACACCCCTTGTCAGAGGATATCCGATTTAACACAAAGCTTAAGCGAAGTTTACCATATAATTTGTTAGTGTGGTTTGTTTGCTCATTAGGAACTAAGAAATTTTTTTTTTGAACGACGAATAATTAGACGACGGAGGCAAAAGTGTACCTGACACCGGATTTAACAACTTATGAAATTAAATAAAAGCATTAAACGAATGAGAAAGTATTAGTTTTAACCGAATCTGTTTGTTTGGTGGACTGACACTATGAAGGTCATGCGACGACTTTCCAGCTATACTGGTGAAGGAAGATCTCAGGTGCCCTTCATAACTTATTTCTGGTACAAGCGGGCTTTTGAAGAAAACCACCGTCTTTTCCATTAGCTAGATTATTGGTGTACAAAAATACCTTAGTCGCTGCATGTTGCAAAAACATGTACAACCATTACTACTCTTTTTCAAAATAAGATCCGATAAATGATGACATTTTGTCAGATTTAATAACAATTCTCAAATATTTATTAAAGTTGGAACACTTCTGACTTTAACGGAACAAGTTAGGCTCGGAAGGGAAACGATTTATTAAAATGTTCCTGTAGCAAAACAAACGGAAATGACGCGGGTTTGTTCATAACAATGAATATGGTAAAATTTGCGCATACAATTACACTTAGTTTAAAGTGCCGATAATTGAAAAGTGCCGACGATTATACATTAATTTTATGCTTGATAATTAATTGCTATTAATTGTTGCAACATATTTTGCATAAACGGTAATAATACCTAAGCTAAAGAATAATCTAATGACGCGGGTTTGTTCATAAAAATGAAAATGGTTAAATATGCGCATACAATTACACTTAGTTTAAAGTGCCGATTATTGAAAAGTGCCGACGTTTATACATTAATTTTATGCTTGATAATTAATTGATATTAATTGTCACAACATATTTCGCATAAACGGTAATAATACCTCAGCTAAAGAATTATTCAACAATTAATTGTTAACTGTATACGTATACTTCAACCATCGATATTCCAACAATGTATGCTGAGTTAAATTTAAATTGTGTTAGATGATGTCAGCGTTTCTCACAGTATATTGAGATAAATTAATAAATGTGTATTTTTCGTACTTGTATTGGCTGAGAATATAAGCTCCATAACGATCTTCACTCTAACCTGCTCCCTCTTCTTATTTTCTGCTATATCCTTTACGTTAGCCAGTGCCGCTTGTACACACTTACATACAAGACCTTCTATTCTTGCTAAACTGACACTTTCAAAATTTTCTTCTTCTTTAGGAGTGTCCCTATTGTTTAAAAATGTAAGAAGCTAAGATTTAAAAAATATGGGACTATAAGTACTTATAGGTATATAATAAAGGTTATAAAGCGAGAAAATGTACACACAATTTCACACATGCACATAAGAAAATGCGATCACATTTTGTTATTATATATGGACTACTTTAATTTTGTCAAACATATAATGTCATAAAAATGTTATTAGTTCGCAACATATCAAACATTAATTATAACATATTTTGTTTGTTAACTTGGTAATATTGTATTGAACTCTCGAAAAGTACGTCTGTATAAAACTATCTGAAACTCCAAATATTATGGAGTCATTATACGGCTGCATCAATGTAACCTATTTCCACACAAACCCTATGTTGATCTTTATGTAAACAAAAATCAAATCTACTCATATTAATAATGTTGTATGCACAATAACGCAGTCAAGAAAACTACTCTCAAGTCAAACAATAGATTTAACAGAAAAGCCAGCTATTTGCTAGAAAATCTCACACTAGTTTCAGGTACTCTTCATACTGAGCTACATAAAATGTTTCCGGTTCCAACGAGGCTATATAGAGATTCAGAATTTTCTTCAATATTAATCTATATTCATAACGATAAAAAGATATCATTAGCCCGAAACTGGGGGGGGGGGGGGGGGTGATGAAGTCAGACGCTCATTGTTTTGTTTTATGCTTTTAGCTTAGACCCGACTTGAGATATTACTTCGTAACTTTTCTTTTACTTACTTCACACAAAGTAAAAAAGCTAAAGTAACTAATATTCTACGTAAAAGGGCAATCATCTTAATTTATATATTTTGAGGTATAACAATCATAAGTCAGATATTTTATAAGTTCAAGTATCTGACATGTCTAAATCATAGTTTACAAGATATACTTCATATAAAACTAGAACTGATATTGAATGCGTTTCATCACATGTTCATGCTCTCTACGGAATCAGGACATTTTAAAAGAGCATCTAGAGGTCCCATGGTGTTATTTCGTTTTTAATGTTTACATCACATAAATAAATACACTATTTACATTTAAGTATCCTTACATGGAATTTAAATGCCAGAACAATGTTAGATTCACCGATCACCTTATAAACAAGAACCGGTTGAACCGGGTGATGCTCCCCGAGAAGGTCCTGGACACAGGAAAGTATAAAAAAATGAACAAAGGGCAAAAACTCCAAAATTAGGCAAGGCAGAGTTATGCTTTTTTTGCACTGCACTTCTATTCAATGAGATCTATCTATCTATAAAGTTTCCTGATGATATCAGAGTTATGTCCCTGGTAATATTTAAAGTGTTAAAATGAACAAAGGGCAATAACTCCAAAATTAGACCAGGCTTTGTTTAGGTTCTTTAAGCATTGCAGTTCTATCCAATTATATCTAGCTACCTACAAAGTTTCAAGTTGATATCTCTAATAGTTTTAAAGTTATGTCTCGGACAAAAGTCAAAAAGTTAAAATAAACAAAGAGCAATTAATTCAAAATAAGGCAAGGCAGAGTAATGATTCTTAAGCACTCCACTTCCATCCAATGAGACCTATCTATCTACAAAGTTTCATGTTCAGATATCTCTTAAAATTTTAGAGTAATGTCCCGGACAAAGTTCAAAGTGTCAATATGAACAAAGGGCAATAACTCCAAAAGTAGGCAAGACAGTGTTACAGTTCTTGTGCACTGCAAACCTACTTAATGAGATCTATCTACCTACAAAGTTTCATGTTGAACCTCTTATACTTTTAGAGTTATGTCCCGGACAAAGTTCAAAGTGTGAAAATAAACAAAGGGGGATAATTAAAAAATTTGGCAAGGCAGAGTAATGGTTCTTGTGCACTGCACACCTACTCAATGAGATCTATCTACCTACAAAGTTTCATGTTGATACCTCTTATAGTTTTACAGTTATGTCTTGGACAAAGTTCAAAGTGTCAAAAAAAACAAAGTGGAATAATTCAAAAATTAGGCAAGTCAGAGTTACGGTTCTTGTGCACTGCACACCTACTCTATGAAATATTTCTACCTACAAAATTTCATGTTGATACCACTTATAGTTTTAAGGGTTATGTCCCGGACAAAGTTCAAAGTGTAAAATAAACAAAGGGGGATAATTCAAAAATTAAGCAAGGCAGAGTTACGGTTTTTGTGCACTGCACACGTACTCAATGAGATCTATCTACCTACAAAGTTTCATGTTGATACCTCTTATACATTTAGAGTTATGTCCCGGACAAAGTTCAAAGTGTAAAAATAAACAAAGGGGGATAATTCAAAACTTAGGCACGGCAGGGTTACGGTTCTTGTGTACTGCACACCTACTCAATGAGATCTATCTACCTACAAAGTTTCATGTTGATACCTATTATAGTTTTACAGTTATGTCCCGGACAAAGTTCAAAGTGTAAAATAAACAAAGGGGAATATTTAAAAAATTAGGCAAGACAGAGTAATGGTTCTTGTGCACTGCACACCTACTCAATGAGATCTATCTACCTACAAAGTTTCATGTTGATACCTCTTATAGTTTTACAGTTATGTCTTGGACAAAGTTCAAAGTGTCAAAAAAAACAAAGTGGAATAATTCAAAAATTAGGCAAGTCAGAGTTACGGTTCTTGTGCACTGCACACCTACTCTATGAAATATTTCTACCTACCAAATTTCATGTTGATACCACTTATAGTTTTACAGTTATGTCCCGGACAAAGTTCAAAGTGTAAAATAAACAAAGGGGGATAATTCAAAAATTAAGCAAGGCAGAGTTACGGTTTTTGTGCACTGCACACGTACTCAATGAGATCTATCTACCTACAAAGTTTCATGTTGATACCTCTTATACATTTAGAGTTATGTCCCGGACAAAGTTCAAAGTGTAAAAATAAACAAAGGGGGATAATTCAAAACTTAGGCACGGCAGGGTTACGGTTTTTGTGTACTGCACACCTACTCAATGAGATCTATCTACCTACAAAGTTTCATGTTGATACCTATTATAGTTTTACAGTTATGTCCCGGACAAAGTTCAAAGTGTAAAATAAACAAAGGGGAATATTTAAAAAATTAGGCAAGACAGAGTTACGGTTCTTGTGCACTGCACACCTACTCAATAAGATCTATCTACCTACAAAGTTTCATGTTGATACCTCTTATACTTTTAGAGTAATGTCCCGGACAAAGTTCAAAGTGTAAAATAAACAAAGGGGGATAATTCAAAAATTAGACAAGGCAGAGTTACGGTTCTTGTGCACTGCACACCTACTCAATGAGATATATCTACCTACAAAGTTTCATGTTGATACCTCTTATACTTTTAGAGTTATGTCCCGGACAAAGTTCAAAGTGTAAAATAAACAAAGGGGGATTATTCAAAAATTAGGCAAGGCAGCGTTACGGTTTTTGTGCACTGCACACCTACCCAATGAGATCTATCTACCTACAAAGTTTCATGTTGATACCTCTTATACTTTTAGAGTTATGTCCCGGACAAAGTTCAAAGTGTAAAAATAAACAAAGGGGAATAATTCAAAAATTAGTTACAAAGTTTCATGTTGATATCTCTTGTTGTTTCAAAGTTATGTCCCGGACAAGAAAAGGGGACGGACGGACGGACGGAAAGCCGGACGGACGGACAGACGGACGGACGGACAAGGCTGCGACTATATGCTCCCCCGAATTTTTTTCGGGGAGCATAAAAATGTGCGTAATGGATAACATAACAAACCCGTTTACTGCATCCTCAAAAAGCTGTGCCACCGAACGTCCTTGCATTTCAAACAGAACAGGAAGATTTCTATCTTCTGGATAGAGATCATCAATATGTATAGATTTCCATATTCCACACTTTGAAAAACAAAATGTTTAGATTTATAATGGTAAAATCAAATTAAACAAGGGCAACATTGTCGCAAAATATGCCCGTCAAAAAAGTGTTTGTTAGAAATGTAGGCATTATAGTTATGCATATAGGAGATGTGCTATGGGCAATATCCGGACAATATCTGGATATTTTATCATCTGTAGTGACTTTAACCACGCATTTATTAACCTAAATTACATGTGTCACACTTGAAGTCGTGATAGTTATTATTTGTGTTTCAATCCCTCAATAAATTATGACTAAATGGTCCCGTACACAAATTTTGACCTCTCTATGTGACCTTGACTTTGGTAGCAGTGACCTGAATTATGTGCACAATACTTAGCTTCACAATGGTAGTCATGATAATGACCATTTGTGTTTCTATCCCTCAATAAATGTGGACTAAAAGGTCAGAATACATATTTTCAAATTTATCTGCTCTTTAACCCCTATGTGTGACCTTGACCTTGGCCATAGACACTTGAATTTTACATGTGACACTCCGCCTTACAATTGTGAACATTTGTGCCAAGTAATATTGAAATCCCTCGATCCATGTAGAAGTTTTGACCTGGACAAGCGTATTTCAATGACCTCTAAATGTGATCTTGACCTTTGACGTTAGGACCTGGTTTATGCGCATGACACTGCTTTTTATAGTATTATAATCCCTCCATGTGTATGAGATATTTTCTTGACAAAATCTCTATATTTGATCACCTTTAGTGACCTTTACCTTGCATAGATTAACCTAAAGTACATGTTTCACATCCGTAGTCATGATAATGACCATTTGTTTTTCAATCCCTAAATAAATGATGACTAAATCGTCCGAATACACATTTTTATATTTTTATCTGAGCTTTGACCCCTATATGTGACCTTCGCCTTGGTCGCAGGGACCTAGATCTTGCCCGCCACACTCCGGCTTACAATGATGAACATTTGTGGTAAGTTATATTGGAATCCCTCTATGCATGTAGAAGTTTTGCTCCGGACAATCGTTTTTATTTTAATGACCTTGATCTTTGACCTAGAGACCTGGTTTATATGTGCGACACTGCCTCCCGTAGTGAACATTTCTATGAAATATGATAAACAAGATCAGCAAGAAAAGGCGGCGTTAAATGAACGCAACCCCCACACGACCAAGCAACAAGAACCCGTGGCAAGGAGCCCAGGAGGATCCAAACAGAACAGGACATGGCTTATCAATCACTAAAAGTTTCATTAAAATTCCTCAATGCGTATAGGAGATATGCTCCAGACAAAATTGTGGACGCCACCATCCCGCCAGCCTGCGGGGAAACTTAAATATGGCCCGTTTTTCAAACAGGCGTTTAAAAAGTTAGGTATACATTTCATGATAAATAGATCGGCGACATGATATGTAACGCATCTTATTTTTAAAAGCTTTGATAACGCTGCAATTTTTAAAGTTAGCAACTTTTAAATGATATAATGTTAATGATAACCAACATGACGAAAATTGTCACTAAAGATGATCTTACTTGAATGCAAAGAAAAGTATTCTACCTGAAAACCAGCAAAACATCCACCTGCAATTCTCGGCAAATGTACAATGAATATAATATGAACAGCCTGTTCAAGTTCATCTCTTAGTTTTTCAAATACATCTAAAGCACAGAATCTCGAACACGCAATGAGATTTGCATTAGAGTGTCCATTTTCGCACTGTATGATAACAAGCGTCGGCTTTTCCTTACATGCTTTCAAAAAGTGTCTGTAAATCAACATTTAAACGCTTGTAATATCAAAAAATGTGGAACAAGGTTGATCTCAAGTCATTTCATTTTAGATAATACAGTATATATTTCTGGTTACAGAAGAGTGCAATTTGGCCTGTGTTAACGTTATTGATAGTTTTCTCAATCCGTTTCAAACTCGAAATACAAATGAAAGACTTAAGAAACAATAGGGCCATGATAGCCCTGAAATCGCTCACCTAAATATAAAACTCTTCATGACAAGGAACAAATAATATTGTAATCTATGAACAAAACCAGATATTGAATCTAAAACTGATATTACAAAGTTCAAATTTGAATCTGCAAAAGTACATGTGTAAAAACATTACTGGTTGCTATTGTTTAGAGAAAACAACAGTTTCAAAAGATTTGTACATATAAGAAAAATCAATGACCCCCTGGGGCGGAGCCAATTTTGTCCCCAGGGCCTTTATTTGAACAAACTTAGTAGACACCTTTAAAAAGATTTTTCATGCTTAATATCTAAGCCCTAGCTCTTTGAGTTTTTTAAAAGAAGATTTTATTCAAGTATTTACTACGTACATGGAATTCAATAACCCCGGCAACTTTTGTCCCAAGGGCTTTTATTTGAAGAATCTTGATAGACACCCATTCGAAGATGTTTCATGCTATATATATAAGTTCTAGCTCTATGGGCTTTTTAAAAAGAGATTTTTTTTTACTATAGACATATAGGGAAAATCAATGACCCCTGGGGCGGGGCCAATTTTGATCAAGGGACTTTCATTTGAACAAACATGGTTGACACTAACAAGAAGATGTTTCGTGCTTCATAACTAAGCTCTAGCTATTTTGGTTTTTAAAAGAAAATGTTTTAAGTCTTTACTATATACTTATAAGGAAATTCAATGACCCCAGGAGCAGGGCCAATTTTCACCCCAGGGCTTTTATTTCAACAAACTTGGTAGACACTTACTAGCAGATATTTCATGCCAAATATCTAAGCTCTAGCTCTATTTTTTTCTTTTGGTTTCCATTGCAAAAACCAGAGTTCTGCATGGAATAAAATTCTTTGAACAATTTTCAGAGGTGACCACAAATGAACATTCCTGTGAAATTTGGATTAAATTAGCTTAGCGGTTTATGAGGAAATGTCGTTTAAAGTAAAAGTTTACGGACGGACGACGGACGGACTACGGAAGGACGCCGGACGAAAAGCGACCACAAATGCTTACCCAGTCACTTTGTGACAGGTGACATAAAAAGATAATGAAACATGCCCAATGATTGGTCATGTAATGGTGAATGACATACATGTAAAATTGTGCTTTAAATTGAAAATATTGAAAGGAAATCAATTACAGTTATAAATATCTTACTGCATTTTTCCAGTAAATTGTTGCTCTGTATCAAACGAAGACAGGGATTCTATCAAAAGTATTTGGGACATTTCTACTCCACTTGCCTGACTGATGTCTTGTTTATGTACATGTCCCAGTAGCTTTGAGTGAGTTGTTACCTAGCAATATTTGATAATAAGTGATAATAAGTCTAAGAAACACATTGTCTTGTCAATCATTTTCGTTGTACATTGTTTACGTTATCTATCGAAAGAAATAATTCACCAATAACTGATCCAAAGTGCACTTTCTATCAAATATATACAAAGAGTATAACTATAAGCTAGAGTATATCTTTATTTAAAAACATTTACCTGACTAAATAGTTGTTTTGTTTGATTCGTCACAATTTCTTTCTCTATGAAATCCAAGAAGCTCCCGTGCGATTGATCTTGAAAATACAATTTAGTAAGTCTTTTTTGCTCATCAAAGCGAAGATCACTTTTTTTCAATCTGAACACTGCATCTGGTGTTGTACATAACAAAAGAGTGGCTTTTGCATCTTCAAATGTCTGTAAGTAATGATAACAGTAATAACCGACAAAAAAATTTACAAAAGAGTGAGCCTGGGGCCGTATTCACAACTGATCTTAAGTTAATTTTTTGTCTTAAATATAAGATTTTTCTTATATTTTGAGAAATTATCTTAGATTTAAGATAAGAATCCGCAATTTACTTAAGTGGTATTCACAACTGTTTTTTATCTTAAGTTTTGTCTTAAGATGGACAATTTTTGTCTTAAATATAAGTCAGCCTACCCTATCTTAAAGTTAAGAAATTTCTTAACTTGGCAGTAGGCCTAAATCATCTTAAAAATGGCGGACGGTAAATCGTCGATTCGATTGAAAACTTGCGTTTTTTACTAGTATTAGATATATCTTGAGGAAATCAACGCCAATAATTACAGCAATAATGATTTCGTTCAAAGTAATTTATACACACGATAAATGTGAGTAAAACAAGGGAGTTAAATCGGCAAAAATTGAAGACGGAAAGGAGACGCTCATTTCACAAAACGGAGTATGATCGTCAGTTTCTTGCTGGTAAGTACTTGTAAAGAAAATATTTGTGCACAGAAAAATGTAAAATGTCGGTTTGTGTGTTGTTCTTTGAGAAAAACATAACCGCTAAACGCTTACGAGTGTTTATTTGGAATGTCACTGGTTTTCGCGAGAATCACTAAATGGCTATCACAAGCTACAACTTGCAATGCTTAGCGGATAATTTTAATTGAATAATTTACATATGCAAATTGATAATGTTCCGTATTACCGATGTGTTTATTGAAAACCTGACACATGCTGAATTGATAATGATTAGCCCGACTGATGATTCGCCCAAGAACGTTTCGCCCCACTTTTTTGATGGTTCACTTCAGATTAGAGACGATTCGTCCTACCTTAGAATGATCCTTTTAAACATCCTTTAGGTTATTAAAATAAATAAATGAAAAGATGAAATGTTTCTTTTGGTAACCGTTTATTTGTGAAATAAAATGTTCTTTGTATTTAGCAAGTGTGTTACGGTACCATACGCGCCCGTACTGGGTGCCAGAATTTTGTCCGGAGCATATCTCCTACATGTATGGAGGGATTTTAATGAAACTTCATATAAATGTTCACCACTATGAGGAGCAGTGTCGCGCACATGAACCAGGTCTCTAGGTCAAAGGTCAAGGTCACACTTAGAGCTCATTGAAAAATGCTTGTCCGGAGCAAAACTTCCACATGTATAGAGGGATTTCAATATTACTTGGCACAAATGTTCACCATTGTGAGGCGGAGTGTCGCGTGCAAGATTCAGGTCCTTGCGGCCAAGGTCAAGGTCACACATAGAGGTCAAAGTTCAGATAAAAATATGAAGATGTGTATATGGACCATTTAGTCATCATTTATTGAGGGATTGTAACACAAATGGTCATTATCAAGACTATGGCTGTGATACATATAATTTAGGTCAATATATACAAGGTCAAGGTCACTAAAGATGATGAAATATCCAGATTTTGTAAATAGAATTTAATCAAAGGGAGACAACAAAGTTATTACTTTGTTCATAAATGACTTACACAATTACTCCCCTTGATCTATTTTCACTTTCAATTCTAAAAAATAGAATTTAATCAAAGGGCATGAAATAATCCTCTTTCTTGGACTTGAGTATGTTCTAAAGAATGTAACATTTATTTACACATGTTTCATTCATTGGTCAAGATTCTTACTGTGATAACTATGGTGTTCTGTAGACTTGGTATTTGTTCATAAAGATCATACAGTAATTACCTTATCAAATGTAAATACTTTCTCACAGAAATTTAATTATATTTTAATTTTCAAGTAAATATCAGTTCAGCTCATTCAAAGATTAAGAATTGTAATGAAATGTATTTCCCTAGAATAAAATCTTAAATCAGAATTTTTTAGTTATTAAATTACATGTACTTTTTATACGCCCGTTTAAAAAAAAAGATAAAAAATATGAAGATGAGTATAGGGACGATTTAATCATCATTTTATTGAGGGATTGTAACACAAATGGTCATTATAATGACTACGGCTGTGACACATGTACTTTAGGTCAATATATGCAAGGTCAAGGTCACTAAAGATGGTGAAATATCCAGATTTTGTCTGGAGCATATCTCCTACATGTATGGAAGAATTTTTATAATACTTTATGGAAATGTTCACCACCATGATATGTATTGCTCCATGCATGATCCAGGTCTCCAGGTCAAAAGGTCAAGGTCACACTTAGAGCTCATTGAAAAAACGCTTGTCCGGAGCAAAACTTCTACATTCATAGGGGGTTTTCAATATAACTTGGCACAAATGTTCACCATTGTGAGGCTGAGTGTCGCATGCAAAATTCAGATCCCTGCAACCAAAGTCAAGGTTACACATAGAGGTCAAAGTTCAGATAAAAATTTGAAGATGGTTATAGGGACCATTTAGTCATCATTTATTGATGGATTGTAGCACAAATGGTAACTATCATGACTACAGGTGTTACACATTTAATTTAGGTTAATATTTGCAAGATCAAGGTCACTGGAGATGATTAAATATCCAGATGTTGTCCGGAGCATATTTTCTACATGCATGGAGGAATTTTAATGTTACTTTTATAGAATTGTTCACCACCATGAGAGGTAGTGCCCTGCACATAAACCAAGTCTCTAGGTCAAAGGTGAAGGTCACAGTTAGAGCTCATAGAAAAACACTTGTCTGGAGCAAAACTTCTACATGCATAGAGGGATTTCAATATAATTTGGCACAAATGTTCATCATTGTGAGGCTGAGTGCCGTGCATAAAATTCAGGTCCCTGCGACCAAGGTCAAGGTCACACATTCTGTGCATATCTTCCCTATTGATTTGTTTTAAGGTTCATTTAACAACACAGTGCCAAGAATAAAAACTTGCTTGCTAGATAACACTTATCCATAATGCCCCCATCTCCATCTAAAGCTTTTTCGTAAACGGGCGTATTTTGTGACTATGGCACCCTTGTTCAATAATAGATAAATGCAATGATGAAGTCAGTAATTTGCAGGTCTTATTACATTTTCACACAGAATGAACATACATATTTTTTAAAAATAATATTACCGATGATGTTCGGCCATTATATTATCATCATGACAAGATATCGGATAGATCCAGCAGGTTTTTTCTCTCTGCTTTGGTTATTGGTGCCGGTACCAGACTGATTGGGAAAAAATGCGTTATTTTGACTCAAATTTTATTAAGCATCTTTTCAGCTACAAATAAGATTAGCCATAATGAATAAAGACAGTTAACATCTTCCAGGGTCCAGGTAGAACTATTGAGTGGTAATTAATATAAATATAATCATTTTAGAGAAATATCATGGCCTGCTGGAATTTTGAACAGTCAATTTGAGAATTTTCTCATTAGAATTTGGGAATTTTCATGTCTTTTTACCATTGGGAACAGCTAGTACCTTTTTCGAGTAGTAGTTATAACTTATATAAAGAAAAAAACACTGTGATCTATCAGAAATAAATTCACCTTTAATTGAAGAAATTTTTTTAGCCCAAAGGAAAAATTTTGTAAATGTTATTTACAAGT